TGGCAGAGTGAAACATTGCGAGCTATATATATGCTATACATGCATCGTGTCGTGGCAGAGTGAAACATTGCGAGCTATATATAGGCTATACATGCATCGTGTCGTGGCAGAGTAAAACATTGCGAGCTATATATAGGCTATACAGGCATCGTGTCGTGGTACCTACACTGAAACATTACAAGCTACATCTCCGCACAAATTCTAAAGAAAGATAGATCGCTACACGTAATGAACGCCCGATTTTGATACAGATATATATATATATCAAGAATACATAATGGGAGATCTCCCATTATTTACTCTTGATATATATATATGCAAGTTCATGTAAATATATAGGTGAGATTGCTGATGCGTGTAGATGCGATATATGAATGCATACGTTGAGGACATTATTAGGTTATTTGTTATAGATTTTACACTGTAGAGCTTCTAGTTCGGACATGACTACACAAACGTGTAAACATTTGAGGATAATATTTATCATGATTGCAGCCTTCGCTGTGTTATACGATGACTTGAACCTATACGGTCGTTATTTACGGCTTGGATATTTAGCACGATATATGTGCGCTGAGGTTTTGCATACACACGCGTGACTATGCCTCCAGGTCACGTGACGCTTCGTCGTCAGGTCGACGTATCCGCCGGATATCGCCTTCTTTCCGTTCTCTCTCACGCGTATCCGTCATCCCCTCTCCAATCTTCCCTCTCTCCCCGATAACTTTCTCTCTTTTCGCTATCTGCCTCCCTTCCCTCTCTCTTCTCTCTCTCTCTCTCTCCTCTCTCTCTCTCTCTCTCTTATTCTCTCTCTCTCGTCGTCTCTCTCTCTCTCTCTCTCTAATATATCTATATATATATTTGCTACCGTATTTCGACATTGTCAAAACAATATCGAACTTATAGAACTCATGAAGGAAAAATCACGGTTGGAAGACGCACGCACACTGTGCGCTTATAGTGTATCTAACAATAGACGCTCCGTGCTGTGATTACCAAAGGATGGACAGGTTACTGTCTTGTCTGTGTACTGCGGCTAGAGTATACAAGGTCGTAACGAGTCCATACTGCGGTACATGTTTATCCGCTATTATCCGCTCTGACTGCAGTCAGCACGTATATCACACACCAGCGCCCCTGCCCACAGCATGCCAAAACAACACACACACACACACACACACACACATACACACACCACCACACCCACACACACACCACACACACACACACCACACACACACACACACACACACACACACACACACACACACGACACACACCACGCTGCTGCGCCGTGCACACACACAGCACGACAACACACACACACCACACAACCACACACGAAACGCCCCCTCCCACACACCCACGCACACACAAACGCGCGCGCGTGCACACACACACACCACACACACACACACACAACACACAGCACACACAACGCCCCCATCACACCACACACACACACACACACACATCACACACAAACACACACACACACCACACACACACACACACACACACACACACACACATACAAACACTTCCTCCCACACACCCACGCACACTCACGCGCACACACACACACACACACACACACACACACACACACACACACACACAGCACACAAACACAACTAAACACACACACACACACACACACACACACACACACACACACACACACACACACTCACGTGAGCGCAAAATAACTATAATTATACCAACCACAATATCATAACATAACAATAACATAACATAACATAACTTACGTAAGCGCAGTCAAAATATACGTTTTAATATCATTGAATATTTGCGTCTCTAATTCGCTAAAAATTTGTAAAGAACTAAAAAAAATTAAGCACAACGTCTGGTACGTTACCAGGCAAGAACCACACGCGCATCTGAACTTGCTATAGCTAATAGTATATATATATTATATATACTATTATATATATTATATAGCTATAATATATACTAATAGTGCAACTCAATAATGTTTTCTGTGATCGAGTGACGATATATTGTACGTTGCGAGAAGTATGCGAACCTCTCGTATATTACGCTTCCGTATTGTTATTAGGTTTAGTTATAGTTATAAGCCTTGTCTACACGAGGTTTTCATATCCCGGGCTAAGAACAGTCTCGGGTTAGCTTAACCCTAGTTAATGCACAGCGTCTAACCCGCTTAACGCTTATATGCTGTTCTGGTATGCTTATGTAAATACGCATTCACTATTGCCGTCTATCGCAGGATTAAGGAATAGGAGCGCTATATGAACTATAATTATGCGTATCTCGGTTTAACGACGTCTATACGACGCTATCTCGAGACAGATCTTATCGTCCTCACATCGCGAGTTTAAGCTATCCCGGGTTAAGGCTTAACCCGGGTTATCTTAACCCGAGATAGGCCCTCGTGTAGACGCTTACCCCAAGATAAAAATCCTCGTGTAGACGAGGCTTTAGTTAGGTTTAGGTTTATGTTATAGTTCCGCATTAGATTTCCGTATAGTATAGTGCAGACGGCGTATGCTGACTCTCATATTGCTGACGTCAATTGCATAATAACCTGATAATAACACCCGCAGACTGGCGTGTTGCCACGCGTGAATCAGAGGCAGGGCTTGCAGGCCGCACACAACAATCCAGTGCTATTAGCCAGCGCGGATGCACCTGCATCCGTTTCTGCGCCGTTGCCATGGCAATGCGCTTGTCAGATTTCATGTTGCGGCAGCGCCGCGCGTGACTTCTAGCTGCCGCTATTACAATAATCATTTGCAGCTCGATGGGTAGCCATTGTTCGCTCGCTGATTCTGAGCCCTAGCGAGCGCCGCGCCAGCAGCGGCCATATCATGGCGGCATACGGTCACTCTCTCTTCTATATTACATAGATATGTAATATCCATCCATCCATCCATCCATCCATCCATCCATCCATCCATCCATCCATCCATCCATCGATCCATCCATCCATCCATCCATCCATCCATCCATCCATCCATCCATCCATCCATCAATCCATCCATCCATCCATCCATCCATCCATCCATCCATCCATCCATCCATCCATCCATCCATCCATTCATCCATCCATCCATCCATCCA